TATAAATTCATTGTAATTGAATATAGCAGGTATAGAGGATGTAATTGAATATGCAGGTGCAAAGATGTATATTTCTAATTTATCTCCAATTTTTTTAAATCATTTGCAATCATTTATAATCTGTTTATAGAAGAACATTAATTACATTTCATAAATGATTAATCATTTTATTATATATTTTCATATCATAAAAAGATATATCAGAATTTTCTTGATCATCTGATGTAAACATATTAAATGTATAACAAAATCCCACCAATGTTCTTTTACTTTACAGCAAGATAACACAATGCAAAAGGAAGCAGATAAGAAGAAAAGGAAGTAGAAGTAAGCATGAGGAAAAGTAAAAACACGTTTCACTGGAAAATCCTGAACATGGTAAATGGAAAGAGGGACAAATTGTATTACAGAAAAGAAATAGAGTCGTTGGATGGCAATTGCAGCTGCGCTGCCGAATATTTATGCGGGTGAGAATCGTCAAATGATTTAAATTCAGGAATATTATTGCGAATATTGGTAACATTACATTTATACATTACATGCCAGCGTATAATTACGCATGCAACTATTGACAAGTCTCGTATCGCGAACTAATATTAAATACATTTAGGACAAGTTTTAATTGCATTTTATTGACAATGAATTATATTCTTGTATGCCATTTTCTTCTTATTTATCTATAATACGAATTTTCTTTCATTTTGATTTTCTCATTCGTCATGTATATAAGCGTTGATATGCGATGAAATTATGATTATTTGAATTATTATTATTACGATCCTTTGATGATTAAACACTATCATTTTCATGATATAGATATGTTAAATAAATTCATTGCTTTCAAGATGTAAATTTATTTTTAATTCTAAATTTATTGTTTCTAAATTCTAAATTTAAAAATGAAAAATAGATAATTATTAATAGATTATATATAATTGATTAATTAATTAATTTATAATTTTGTATAATAAAAGAAATATGAAATATGTTGACTTAATTAAGTAGTAACATTTTTTTAAAAACGTATATTATTAATGATTTATTCATTTATTAATAAATAATTTATTCATTTATTAAAAATAGATATCCTAAGATTTCTATTTACATTATTTGCATTTCTAAAAATGTGAATAAATTCAAAATAAGTTCAAAAAACATATATATTCAGATATAATATGTTGAAATATACAAAATGTAATGTATATATATATATATATATGTATATAATATATATATATATATGTATGTATATTATATATTCATAATTATATATGAGGTTTATATATTACATATATATTTACAATGAAGAATTCGTATTCTTGAAATTTGAATTTGATAATATCATCTATTAAATTTTATTTTAAATTTACAAGTTAATTTGGTACTTTTTTAAAGTAAAATTTATATATTATAAATTTACATAGTATTTATTTAAAAATAAATCATATAACATTTATTCTTTGAAATCGTTAAGAATTTTATTTCTTTCAGATATTTTTTTTTTGTTTCGTCTTATTTCATATCTCAAAAAAAAAAAAAAAAAGATGAGAATACAAGTTATTTATAATTTTTTGTACGTCTTTTAATATTTGAAAGTTGAATGGAATAATAATATTGAAACGATATTTGTAATAATTAAATAAAATTAGAAGTAAGCCATATTTTTTGAATCAAGAAAAGATTTAAGATTTATCGCATTTCATGATTAATAAACGATTTTTTCTTTTTAAGTTCATCATCCTCGCGAAATAGTTGATAATGATAATGGTTTATAGTATGAGCATTAAATTAAACTATATATTATTCTCTTTACTTTTTTTTTATTATATTTTATTAATAATCACAAATTTAAAAACTATAAATAAATTAAATAAGAAATGACCTGTGAATGATGAAATCTGATTAATATATTAAATAATCAATTATTATATTTACAAATATTTTTAATCTGTATATATATATCACATTACATAATTTGAAGATGCTGTGATTAAAACGAAGAATTATATTAGCTTTGTAAATAAAATGTAGAGATTTGTAATAAGTAATGATTACTTACCGGCAAGAACTCCAGCCATGTAAACGGCCGCGATCCTTAGACTTCCATGAACCATTTCTAAGGGAAGTCCCACGACCACTTGTACTCCCAAGTTAAATAGCAGGTGAAGCCACCTGAAATTCAAGCATATAAATTTCTGACGTAATGCTCATTATTACTCGTATGAATAAAAAATTAATAAAATAATTTAAATCAATCAAAAATAATATTTAAGAATATTATTATATATATATATATATATATATATGTATACATATATGAATATAAATATAATTAAATAATGAATATAAATTTAATCTTATATTGATTAATTAACTGATTAAAATATCGAAATGATTTGAAATCTGAATATCTTCATAATTATTTAATATACTTTGAATGTTTCATAATTATTTAATTTATTTTTCTATTAATGAAAATCATTCTGCTATTGTATTCTCATTAATTAAAACATAAAACAGTTTGTTTTTAGTGAAAATGAGAAGCAATAATATCTATTTCAAGAATACTTTCTAGTAATGATATATATTTATATTAAATAGGTTTTATATATATAGAAGTTAGATTTCATATATATAGTAAGTTTTCTATTTTCATTTTTCATTCAATGTAACTTAATGTTAATATTTCAATATTGCAGTCATCATATATATCGAATGTGATACGAATATTGCAAATTTTAACTTTCGAGATAAAATAAATAAATAATAAATATTAAATAAATATAATTTAAGAATATTATATTATAATATATAATCTCAATTTATATCATTATTGTTAAAAAAATATGATTGTATGAAAATGTGATAAATACAAAAAATAATAAATTATAATAATAAAATGATAATAAGAAATCTTGAAATAGATAAATTTTTTGAATTATTTATATCTATTAAAAGGATAAATAGTAAAGTAACGCAAATTTAATGTATGATTATTTATTTTGTTATTATAATCTATTTGTATTTAGAAAAATATAAGAAAAAAGTAGATATAATATAAAATAATAAGAAAAATAAAATAAAAAGGAAGAGTTGTAGTTTTGATGAATGTAATGGATTTAATGAATTTTTTATTATAATTTTGCAACTTTGAATTTTTGAAATAGGTAAGGAATGACAAAAGAAAGACTTTAAATAAATAACTTTTTTATTTTTATATAAAAAATAACTTTAAAAAAAATAACCTTCTTATTATATAATAATCATATATGATTGATATTTTTTTTTATTTTCTTGAATCTGTAACTGATCCATTTTGGATTATTTAGCGTAATCTATGACAACAGATTGATATATGAGAAGATGTTTTCCAGTGATAATTCTTCAAAGTTCAAAATTTCATTCGGTGCAGATTTTTAGAAGTTTAATTTTTCTATGATATACCAATAAAATTATTATATAAAAAAAATAATTTTATCTTTGATATAAGATGAAAAATTAATTTGTGAGTTTATTTATCATTTTATCCAATTATTGTTAATATAAAATTCACTATTTTAAAACATTGTATAATTTTCTAAACTCTAAAAGAAAATTTATGTATATTCATCACATTTTGAATATATAAATTTTGAATATTTTGAATATCGATAATTTCTTTTTATATTGTAGATAATAAAATATCTTGTGATGAATTCTGTTTCTTTCATATGTTGTCGTAATATATAACTTTGAAATATATTGAAAAATTAAAAAAATTATTCTGAGAAGATAATCTTATATATGTCTATATGAATAAATAATATCAACATAACAACGAAATATTAAAATCATTTTATGATTCATTTCATTTTTATGAATGTCAAAATTTACTTTCCATTATTTATTGTTATTTAAACTTTTATTTACTAATTTATGATATTAATTTATGATATTAAAATAAGATATTAGATAAGATATAAATTTGTGATTTTAATTTTTTCATATACAAAGATGATAGTAAAGAAAATCGATACGAATTAGTAAACAAATCAAAAAATAATATTTGATATTTTATCCAATGTTTTTCCTATTTTTAATATATTTTTAATTTAAATTTTTCAAAATTTTACATGAATAATTATGTACTATAATAGTAAATATATTATACAAAATAAAGATAAAGAAAAGCATTTCTATGATTTAATCAAAATTAATTTATTATATTATATCTAATATTATATTTACAACTTTATGAAAATTTAATAATCTAGAAAATAAAAAGGAAAATCAATGAAAAAAAAATTATATTTTTAGATTTTTCTTTTTTGGAGGGAATGTACATGTCTCAAATTTCATCAAATTCTGATATATCCTTAAAGAATTTGATCCATATATTATGTATATGATAACTTTTTAATATAAATGTATTATTTAATTATTTAATAAAATTAAGTAAAAATAAAAAATTAAAATATGAATTGTATTTTAAAAAAAATATTTATTTATCATGATTATTGTATTTCAGTTGTATTTATAAAAACTAGAAGTTAAATTATATATTATATAATAATATATATTTTATATCCATTATATATAATATATAATTAATTATATAATATCTATATAATATTATCATAATATTATAGCATATAATAATATAATAATATAATATAATATATAATCTACAAATAAATCGCTAAAATTATATATTTAATGTAAAAATTATAAAAATTATATTAAAGAGTTTGAATATAACTAAATTTTATAGTATATAATTATAGATATATGTATAGAAAAAGAATAATTATATAATTATATAATTATATATAAAAGAATAAGATAAAATTTCATTATTGATGTCTTTTTTTTTATAATTTTTATATTAGTGTATATTATAATATATTAAAATATATTTTATTTTCATTCAATTCATTCAATTCAAAATCATTAGATAACTGTTAACAGATAATTGTGAATTGATTCACAATCGTTAAACTTAAGAATTGATCAATAATTTATAACTTTTAAATTAAGAAAGACAGTCAATCTGATTCACATTTAACGCGATAGAACATTGTCTAAAATCATGATGGGTAATTAAAATTATTTTTATTTTTTATAACACGAATTAGACAAAAAATAAAAGCAGAAATCAAATCGAAAAAATGATAAGATCAATGATGCTTTCTTAAAAATTTTGCTTTGTTGAGTTAGAATTATTACAATGACAATAGTACACAGATAGTGAAATTAAAGCAATTATGAATTTTATTTTGCCAACTAAGGAAATTTTCCTTTACGAAGAGTAAGATGATTATCTCCTTCACTCAACAATATCGAAAGACTCTTTGAGATAATATCCGTTTGATGTGTTTTGCCATTTCCTATCATCTTTCATATTAAATTTCTAATTTGATAATCTTACAATCTTTTTCCTAAGTCCGAAGTGTTATTATTACAAACTAATATTATTTATTATTATAAATTAAATATTATTTATTATTACAAAGTGATTGTATTGAAAAGATGAATTTGTAATTTCTTTAATATGAAAAATGTGAATAAATATCATGAATTATTATAATATCAAAAAAATTAGACTAAAATCGTTGACTTATGTTTATTGTTAAGTTATTATTGATTTTTATTAAAATAATTATATAATAAGAAAATCTATATGAGATATTAAGTATTTAATATCATATAGTATTTGATTATTATTAAAGCAGAATAAATATTATATATAAATTTATATATAATTTCGTATATAAATTTTTATTTTTTGAAATAATAAAAGTCAATTTAAATATTGATGTAATTGACTTCTTAGTTATATTAAAAAATTAAAAAATTATGTGATTATTTAGTTGATTAATAATAATATTTTATTTTACAGTAAAGAAAATTTATTGTAGAAAATTTTTTTATCTAAACTTATTAAAAACTATATAATAAGATTCTTTATAACAATTATATAATAAGATTCTTTATAACAATTATTTCCTTTCATATTCTTATGAAAGGACTTTATAAAACACTTTTTCCAAAATCCATAATAGTATATTATAAATTTAGGAATAATTTTGCAAACATAATAATTACTTATGATTTAATGAATTCATATTTTATTTTATAATTCTATTATATTGTTATTACTATTTTTATTATATTATAAAAACATTCATATAGTGATATTTGGCAATAATTTAGATAGGTAATAATAAATCAACTATGTACTAAATGCAAATAATCAGATATACAAAATTTCTCGCACATAATATTTTTGTTTTCGTTCAAGATAATATAAGAAAAGTCTTTATAGATGACATATCGAAGAAAATAAATAATTACGGTTACGATACAGGAATTCCAAAATGGAGTTTGATTGCCTGACCTGCAAACTGAGTCGATCGGTGAAAACGTGAGCCTATTAGGCGTATAATTTGCATCTTCGAAGAGTCTGAGAATCATCGCGTCTAATTTGTAATGTGGTCAACGCAATAAAGAATGCGATCGGTTGTTGAGACAGAACAAATAAGTTCACGAGTGTCATTGTTGTCATTTCTTTTCTCGCTTCAGGATTCGCGATTAGGTTACCACGAAAGCGCGTGTTGGAATTCCAACGGTTCTTCTCGAACGCATTCGTTGAATAGAAAAGAAACAAAACTGACAAGCTTTTAACGGAAAAGCAGTCTGGTTGAAATATTCACGTTGTATCGAGAGAAAGTACCTTGAGTCGTTCCAAGTTTCAGAAAAGAACATACAGAACTCGAAATATAACAAGAAAGAGAAGAAATTGACAAAATATTTGAATTAAGCTTGGTACTTTCAAGTTTAAGTTTCATTATTTTATAATCATATTTGTTTTTTGTTCTATTTCGAATAGAAATTTCTTTATCAATTCAATAGAAAGTAAATGTTAATAAGATACTTTACATAACTACTAACTTAGGTTCAATTATAATATGTATATATGTATGTATATAAATGTATTATATAAAGGCATAAAAAAGGTATACACTCAACAATACAATTAAATAATAGATAATTAACTATCATGATTATTGTTGATTATTAAAAATATTCATAATGATTATAATCATTAATCAAGTAATTAATTATTATAGAGAATAATATCATAATCTTGCATAATTTTTTAAATATGCAATTATTAATTTATAATTTATATT